AGAGGGGACCAGCAGGCATTGGGAGAGTCCCTGTTCCCCCGAGCACTACCAGGAGTGACTAGAAATAATGGTCACAAGCTGGCAGAGGGTAAATTCAGATTAGACATCAGGGGGCGCTACTTCACAGTCAGGGCGGCTAGGATCTGGAACCAGCTTCCAAGCGAAGTGGTGCTGGCTCCTACCCTGGGGGTCTTTAAGACAAGGCTTGACAATCACCTTGCTGGGGTTGTTTGACCCCAGTATTCTTTCCTGCCATGGCAGGGGGTCGGATTTGATGATCTGCTCAGGTCCCTTCTGACCCTACTAACTATGAAACTATGTTCACCACTTTTTGAGGTTTGGCTTTTACAGTTCTTCCTTTTTTAAGGGGAAGTATGTCTTCTAGTTCTGCAGTTAGTCAAATAAATACATCATCGTTTTTAAACCTAGGAGTTTTAGTAGCATTTTGTAAGGTTATGCTCTACCCAGGAGGACCTAATTTTAGCCCTTTCAGTCCCTATTTAATCTCTTCTTATTCTGAGTAGAAGAATATTCTCCATAAACCTTTTTGGGGGGAGGTTCTTCCCCAAGCATGTTTTGGGATCATGGGACCAAAGGGAATGTCCTAGGTCTTTAAGTCCAGCCCCCTTGATATCACATGCACTATATTCTGTCCCTTTATAAAAAGTAGTTAGATATTTTGTCCCTCTGGCTCCAGTTGGAAGACTGTTCTATAGCCTCAGTTCTCAGACAGGTAGGAAGCTTCTTCTGATTTCCACGTAGATTTATTTGTGACCATTTTATGTTCTTATCCCAGCACAGATTTTCTTCTTCCCTGGTGTTTACTCATGGATTTATTTATAGACAGCAATCGTGTTTTCTTGGTCTTCACTTTGCTGGAAGGGCAAGCCATTTTAGTCTCTTCTTGTGTACAACAGGCTTTCTGTTTCCCCTGATCATCCTCGTAGCCTTTCTTTGTTCTACTCCAAGTTCATTTTCCTGGAACATGAGTGATTATGATTGTACTTAGTATCCCAAAGTGTGTCTTACCAATGGCATGTATAATGACATGAATATTTCCTTTTCTTTACTGGAGAGATTTTTCCTGACAGTATTTGCCTTTCTCAAGGCTGCCTCACAGGGATGTCTCATAGTCATACTAAGATTAACTATTGTATCAAGATCCTCCTTCTCAGTAGTTTCCAACTAAAAAAAGATGGAGTTGTGTTGGATTTTAAGTAAAGAAAACTATAGATCAGTCTGTTATTGCTAATAATGTACGAGTTAGTCTAAGTGCTACACACAGCTTTGTGAGAGCATAAGTCAGAAATCTGTAGCCACTTAAAGCAATAAAATCCTGGACAGCCCTTTTATTCTGAAAATCATGTTATGAACATCTTTATAAAGGAAATATGCAAACTAAGGATGCTTCAAGGGATGCAAATAAACACAGCCAATTTAAAAAATAATAATAATTTGGAGTTCTATGCCTGCTCTTAATTTGTATTCATCTTAATACCAACTTTTTTTTATGGCTTTACAGTTGTTTTTCTGTCTTGTAAAATATGCTTCTTTTTCTTGTTGCTGTGTGAAAGGCATCTGACAATGGAAAATAAACCTGTAGAAATACTACCAAAAGCATGAAGAAAACAAACAAGGTTTAAAAATAAAGCATCTGATTTTTTTTTTTTTTTTTCCATTTAAGCTTTCATTAACATGTTACAAAATAGCAAAACAATGTTTCTCTGATTCTTTCTAGTTGTACTAATGTCACATGCAACAGTTAGATCACTGTAGAACATGTTTTTAAGTAACTGCTCCTATAGGTAAAATAATCAGTCCCTGTTAATATCAGAAGTTGATACCATGGCCACCAAGGTAAAGCACCGCCTGGCAGCAGCAGCAGGGGGAAGGGCACAAATCCATGCCACCACATCTCACTCTGGCAGCCATGGTGGCATGACACTCCCTCCTGCATGCTGGGCCACAGAGACGCCTCCTCTGGAGCTGGGTCTGGCCCTGCTGCAACCCCACGTCCTGCTCTGGGCACAGAAATCTTGGAGGGAATATACTCTCCGTGCCCCATTGCCTGTGCTCCTTTCCCCACCCAATGCCCCCATAGTGTCCACTTCTCTTCCCCTGCATGGTCTGTGCCACAGCCCCACCCCTGCCCCTATAGACGTACCTGTAGGGAGCTGTGGGAGTTGTTCTCTATGCTGCCTGGCTGCTGCATACATGTTTGTACACACAGATACACATGGCACCCCTACTTTGATCGCTTTTCTCCTTTTCCCCACAGCCCCAAGAAGCTCCTTGGGTGCTGGAACTCTGCCAGCCTGAAAGGGGAACCTGCTTTTTCCCAAGTTTTTCTCCTTTAAAGAGGCATAATCCTGAAGCATAGGACAGCTATACAGTTCAGATTTTTTTGGTAACTGTGTAAATCTTAGTTCCTTATACAATTCATTGTACAAGCCAGATTTACAGAAATAGTTGATCTGAAGGTCTAAAACCTATGGCCAACATGAGAATACTGTGGGGCAGAGGAAAATATATAGGGATTGAAGTAAGTCATAAACTGTTGTCACATATCTTGCTGGAACAGAAGTGTATAGGCAAATCGATAAGGTAAATCCAGTTCATAATGCATGTAAAATTCCATGTATTCTGAGTTTGGGGGGGGAAAAATCACTTTATTAAAAGAAATATCTTTATCTTCAGATTTCTCCCTGCAAATGCTAAAGGGAGAAGACTTTATTTTCTGATGTTTTACCCAAAATTGGTCCATCTTGGACAATTAGGAAGTCATCTTTCAACCCACGCATGGTAGGGACTTTAAAAGTTCAGTTTCTCAACTAACTAGGGCTGAAGATCAGGTAGGTAACTTGTTAAACTATATAGCTAGTCTAGGTTAGCTGGATAACTCAGATTTATGAACATTCACTTTGAAGTCCCTAGTTCTCCTCCTGGGTGCTCTTTGAAAATGAGCATTAGGGTAAGTTCAGGTTCTTGGAAATGAGATTCTGCTTTAAGTAAACATTTCATATGGAGTGAGAGGGAATCAAAGTTAATGTTCCTGGACCCAACAGATATCTAATTCTGTGGTAAAACTGCCACTCTCAGTAAGATGATATTAATTCAAAAATCCTCTTCAGCAAAATAACAAATATGTGCTGATATACATTCGTTTGCTACTTGTTCAAATAAAGTCTTTTTGCCACAGACTTCAGTATCCTTTTGTGTTAGCTTTTACAAAATATCAGCATCAATAAACTCTTTCAGAAATCTGTATTGGTGATCAAGCTGAATGCCACACGGTAATTTCTTGGTATTTTTAATAAGGAGCAGATGGCTGTGCAAGGAAAATATTCACATAACATTTTGTAACCTTCTAAAATTCAGGCAAAGAAAATTTTGTAGCTTTTGAACCAAACCTCAGAATATGATTAATTCAGAGGAGATCTATGTGATTTTCATAGTTAGGAATGATTTGCATCATTTTCCAGCATGAATCAAAACCAGTTCTACTTTTGGTCTGTTTTTGTTCTTTTTCCTATTTCAGATCCAGCTGTGGGATACAGCGGGACAGGAGCGGTTTAGAAAGAGCATGGTGCAGCACTACTACAGGAATGTACACGCTGTTGTGTTTGTGTATGATATGACAAACCTTGCCAGTTTTCACAGTCTGCCATCATGGATAGAAGAATGCAAACAGCACTTGCTTGCCAACGATATACCACGGATTCTTGTCGGAAATAAATGTGACCTGAGAAATGCTATTCAGGTGCCTACAGACTTGGCCCAGAAGTTTGCTGATACTCACAGTATGCCCCTGTTTGAAACCTCTGCTAAAAGCCCCAATGACAATGACCATGTGGAGGCCATATTTATGACACTGGCTCACAAGCTCAAGAGCCACAAGCCATTGATGCTTAGTCAACCCCCAGGTAGTGGTGAGATGCACTTAAAACCTGAACCAAAACCTGCCATGACCTGCTGGTGTTAGATCACAGTATTTATGTAGTCACCACCTCGTTGTATTTGCAGATGCTTTAAAATTACCTTGGTAAAGTTCCAGGTACTAGTAGCAATTAGATCTCTTTGGCACTTTAATGTGTTTTTTCTTGTATCTGTGTGCCCTATTCATCTCTTTGCACTTTTGTAATTACTGTCTGAATTACTGAATTTTGATTGTACATATACAGGAGAAAAGACTTTCAAGTGAGCCCACTCAAAGTCACTCGCTGCTTGAGATCATTTTCATCAGTTGTGGTAAGGTGTGTGTGTGTGTGTGTA